TCATACTCTTTGTTTCTTTCGGTAAAGTCACGTAGGTATAAAAAAAGATCACGATGTTTCGGGCACAACACAAGCATCCATCATCAGGTGGCTTTACCGAAAGAACCAAAGAGTATGGAATCCTGCAGTTACGAAAGCTTCAAATCAAGATGCCATGTTCAGTTGTACGTGGTCTCCGCCCGCCAGACTGGAGCAATTGGTCCCACATACTATCCAACCAGAATTCAATACAGTATATATAGACTATCTTTATGTCATCGTGCTGTATCTACGTATGTTCTTGAACTTCTTTCGCACCGTACGTCGCCAATCGTGCGAATCGGAGGCGTCAAGTCAACAGGTATAAGTAGTGGGAAATCAACAACATTTAAATGCAGCATATTTTTTTTCGTATATATGTTTGATGATCGAATATGTTGATTTTCACGATTTAATATGTTGTCGATAATTGAGGATACGTTAAACAAGTTATTTAATGTTTCCAATAATTTATGATACAGTGAATACGTTTATTAAATATATTGTATTTTTATAAAAGTCAAGCAAAGCAAAACATGTCATGCCATAGGTGCTTGCGACTACTGATGATGTACTGTAGTCCCACAGCAGAGTCCTGCATCCTACAACAGCGTAGTGTATGGTGGTCGCCCATCTAAGTACCACAACTACATGCATTTACTCATGATGATTATTATTATTTAAGTGCCACTTATTTATCCAGGAAACCCCGAGTCCCACGGCTATTTTCTCATGAGAGTCCTGCATTGGGGTGTTTGGCCAAGTCTATTCACGAGTGTTTGATACAGTACGTGGGAGCAGGAGCGTAACGAGCGTGGGGGCAGGAGGTGCCTTGCCCCTTAACCCCCCTCCCCTCCCCTGGTGGCCAAAAGCTAGGAGTTTGGGCCCCGTTGACAACCACAACGAGCTACGTTTTGAACAACAGTTCCAAAGTACAACAACACTTATTTCAAACGGAACGTCCCTACACCGTTAAATGTTCGAGACCGTGAGATTAACGATGATGTGATTATGCTAGATGAGCCGCGATATATAATCGCCTGGGTGCGACCGTGCGAGACAAATCAAATATTGGGGCCCCACCTGACCGATTGCTGCACCGCATGGACTGGTAATGTCGTTGCGCCACTGCGTTGGGAGGAAATCAGAGTGAACTTAACTCGCAGCCCTTTGTCAATCGACTGATGCATCATCGCTCATGTGGGTGATTATTGGAGGGTTGGTGAGGTGTGCGTGGGCCGTACCAGCTGAGATATCACTGACGTTAGCCGTGGCCGGGAATCGAACTCTGAAGGCCGGGTTTCTAGTGCATTGCTGTAACCAATGCACCACCGCTGCTCCACCAGAAAACTCTGGAGTACCCGAATAAAACCCATCCATAATTTGGGATGATCCTCAAAGTCACAGATTCGATCCGCATAAAGACTCAATTCGTTGAGATCTGTGGACATTTTGGACATGTGAATGCTCATTATGTGCGGGTGTTGATTTCGCTGATATTGATTCGTGTATTACAATTTCTCCCCAGAGGGGTAGATTGTGTGACCACGTGGTACGTACATATTGTTCAGTTTGATCATATTTGACGTTCCAAAACAATTGCAATGGAAATAGTTCAAGCGTTTTTTTTTCTCTGACATCTAGGTACAACTTTAGTATTGATAACACAAAATCCTCGCAGAATCTGCATAACGGTGTCAACAGGAAGGTGAGTGTGCCCCGTGCGGGCTGAAACAAAACGGATGGAATGCCAAGATATAAAATGACGTGTGCTAAGATCCACACAGTGCAGATTGGAGCAGAGTAGCAGAGATTCACCAAGAGGGGTCGCTGATTGGGGCGGTTGCCTACTCCCTCGCCTCTCCCTGAATGGGGTGCCACGGTGGTGAGATGTTAACTACCTCGCCTGATATACGGGAAAGTCGTGGGTTCGATCCCGACCCTGACGCCGGCTGTATAGTCGGAGTTTGCATGTCTCTGTCCACGTGATCGCGTGGATTTTTCTGCTGATCCACCGGGTTTTCCATCCACATTTAGAAACATGTGTTTAGAGTATTTGGCTGCTATACATTTCCACGTGATGATCCACTTCGCTGAGCTATCATTTATGGTTAGGTCACTTCTGAAAAAGAGCTGCATCGCTCAATGGGCCTTACCTGGTAAAGTAAAATAAACAGTTGTAGACGGCTATTGTATGTCACAGACCATTGTTGTAACATTTCATAACTATCAAAAATTGCAAATAACCAACTGGGTTTTCCTAGTGTGTATATTACATTTTTTTAAATGCATTTACAGGTCATGATATACTGTATATTGGAATCGTAATTTAAATGCAGTTAATTCTGTTTAGCGACATTATTTGCCCCAATTCTGTTTAGCGAAATTATTTGCCCCAATTCTGTTTAGCGAAATTATTTGCCCCTGTCGAAATGTTCTACCTCTAAAAAGTTTACAGCTGGATGCACTAATGGACTGGAAGTACTCCGGTTTTTTAGATGTTATTACTTTAATTCTTATTAAAGTTACTTTATTATATAAAATAGCAACACATAATATACTCTCCTATACAGTATTAAACCTTAGACCTTCATCGTCATCATAATTTTCGATTGGAAACTCGTTTCTTTAGAACAGTTTTTTTGCGTTTAGTGTGTTGCCCTTTCCCCGCACCTCCGATTAGCACCGCTGGCAACGTACGGTGCGAAAGAAAGTCAACATACACACTGCTGGTTGAAAAACACTCTGGGCCAGTTTGGGCTTTCTGTGACTTCATCAGTAGTAAAATACGGCCTCACAAACCAATGCTGCTAACTGATTAATGTTAGAGGCCAGAGCGAGCCCATTCACACATTTAATTCTGGATCAGCAACGGAAGGATTAATTTGTGAATCACATTGCATGGGCAGCCGATTTAAATAGATTTTAGGTTTGGTGGCAATGGGTAAGTCCATTCATACAAGGCTAATTAACCCTGCCGTGCGTGTGTACAGCACTCAACTGTTTGTTGACTGTGGTGCCAACTAAGAGATGTTGTTTTCGTGAGACCTAGCGACTTTTGTTCGTGTTTCTTGAGTGACAACATTTTGTCGTAGCGACTAGTGACAAATCTAGCTACTTTCTGTGACGAGGGACATAGTTGTAAGGAGCGATTCCTGGTAGAGTATTGACGCATCCTGGATCAGTTTATTGTTTAAGAAATGTGCTAAACTGTCTGGCGACTGAGGATGCTGCTGCAGTGGTTTACTACGTTTGATACTTATATTCCAGATATGTATTAAAGATTCTGCATCAGTTTACTATACGATATACTCGGTAAATTGTCACTCCATTATCCCAGTACAGTATATGTCATAGATTCTGCATAGTTTACATGCTTAACACTCACTAAATTGTCTGGTGACATTATTCTAGGTATGTATTAAAGATCCTGATCGGTTGACTTCCTATGCAGCACACGGTAAATGACAGAGTGGTGTGCTTGATTTTCGAGGGTCTAACTTGGCAACATTCAGCGACTTAATCGAGATTCGTTCGCCAACTTTCCTGCGTTTGTTGTGGCGTTGGCAAACAGCCGTTTGACTTTGCTAAATATTTCAGCATGGACCGGTGGCATTTTTTCTATACATATACACAAAAAATGTGGATCATATCGCCACGTATAAGTCAGATAAGCCTTGCTAACGAAGAGCGTGGGCATTTCTCGGGTGGGTGGGTCGGTCGGTCGGTTTTGGGCAACAGCATCAGGAAATAATTTTGCTGGAGTTCTCAGCCCTGTCACTGAGACGTCCTCCTTAGTGTCTCCGGCTTGTATAAGCACAGTGTGTGCAGTGAAGAGAGAGGGAGCGGGTGGTGGTGGTGGGGAAGTGAAATTCAAGTGCGAGTGAATTAATACGCGATCACGCAAGTGCGTGTTGAGCCCGTGCGTTAACGGAGTATCGAGCACAGCACACTCGAGACGCGAGTGTGTACGTTGTATGTCCAGCCCGTTTGTGCTTGACCATACTTCACCACGTTGATCATTGCGGCGGGGAGGGGGGGGTACACAACATTGTATATTTTCGTATACTGTACAGTGTTGTATATCCGGCTGCATATTTGAACGTATCCGTAATTACATTTTGATTTAAAGCTTTCGTGACTGCAGTAATTCATATTCTTAGCTCTTTCAGTAAAGTCACGTTGAGGGAAACAATAAAATAATAAAATATATAAAACAATACAAAATTCTCACGACGTTTCGACCATAACACAAACTACCTCGAAACGTCGTGAGAATGTTTTATTGTTTTATATACATTTTATTATTTTATTGTTTCCCTTCAACGTGACTTTACCGAAAGAGCTAAGAATATGTATCCGTAATTGTCACGAATCGTTAATTGAGTCATAACGAGCCGTGCGACTTGGGGTATGAATATGCATTGTGTTGCTGCCATCATCATCATCATGATGTAATCATCACGTATTGTTTCATCCCCGAAGCCTCCCATGCATTGCCTCCCCGCAAGCGCCTGCAGAGCACAAAAAGGAGTCCTTGAGATATATATCCAAGGAACGAGTCACTCGGTAAGGAAGTGATTTGCATCACTTACTGACTTCTCGTTTTTACCGACAGGCAGCATTGACGGCACCGAGATATCTGTGCAGATACACCGAGCATGTGCTTTGTTTCCTTTTTCTGACCCCGGCTGTTTGCTCCACTGGGCTCGGGCTGTTACCAGTGGAATCACAAGAGCGTGCGTACTCCGCGCGGATATGTTTGTTTCTCGTGTGGGGAGTACAACAGCACCGAGGAGCTTCACGCACGGCGGGCTTGTCTGTGTGTGTGTCCGTGCGAAGAAGCACTGACTGCTTGCTGCTGCTGGAGAGCAGCAGTAGGAGAGCAGCGACATCGCCACTCGGGAGACAAAGGCGGCCGCGCGTGGTGCTGACCATCCAAACCGCGCTCGTGACGCCGTTCCGGCCTTCATCGGTGCTCGCGGGCAGCACGTCCCCCCCCCCCCCCCCGACACTCCGTTAAAAGGCGACAGGCGCGGGACCTTTGTCTTTTGTGGTCGCAGTGCGCGCTCCGCGCAGTGATGCAGTGCGCGCGAGGAACGCGCGGGGTCGACGGAGCCGCCGCTAACGAGCGAATCAGTGAGTGAGCGAGCGAGCGCGCGCGTGCGTTGCGCCGGGGATGAAGAAGAGGAGGATGGAGATGATGAAGATGACGACGACGTCGACGAAGATTATGGCCGTGACGTCACGGCGACGAGCGGATGAGAGCGCCCCATTATGACGTCAGCAAAATCACCAGCACTGCCAGGGAGCATCATCATCAGGAGCAGCAGCAGCGGCGGCAGGAGCTCGAGGAGGAGGAGCAAAAGCAGCAGCAGCAGCAGCCAAAGCCGCAGCAGGAGCGGCAACAACAATAATAATAACGAGGGGCACCACGAGGAGGAGGAGAGGGAGGAGGAGGAGGTTGTCTTGCTGATCAGAAGCCTTTATTAATAAGATGGCGACTGAGACTGCGACGCCTCCGAGTGGCCCGGGACCCGGTCCGGGTGTAAGAGCCGGGCCGAGACAATGCCGAGCAGCAGCAGCAGCAGCAGCAGTGGAGGTAAATGATGGGGAGGGGGGGACAGAGACCTTTTTGGTCCGGGGCAGTGGTAGGAATCGCTTATCTATATCACTCTGTATAGTATAGACTACATGGTCACGATGATGATGATGAGTCGTGGTCAATCCACTGTTGGGTGAAGTGATGGGGAGAGAGAGAGACCTCCTTTGGTCCGGAGCTCATTGATGAAGCCAGCGGTAGGAATCGCTTATCTATAGCACTCTGTGTAGTATAGACTACATGGTCATGATGATGATGAGTCGTGGTCAATCCACTGCTGGATGAAAGCATAAACCAGCAGTGGATAAGTGGGCGAGAACAGGACGCCGCCTTGTTGCCTTGTCCAATAATAACACACATGTAGGTATTGTGTAAAGCGTACGTGTGTGTGTTTTGTGTCTTGAACACAAACACAAGCCTATTGTAACACTGCTTAGATGCAGATGCTACTGTTGAACGTTGTGTGCGCAGCTGATGTTGGCTACTATGTAATGCCGTGTGTAGAACTCTCTATGTGGAGAGTTGGTTACGCGCGCATCTACCCACTCTGTGGCGTACAATGTGCACGTGTGTATGTTACAGCACGTGCAAGTGTGTGTCTAGTACATGCAGAGTGGATGCAAGAGTGTGTATGTATGTATATGTTGAACTTATTTCGCACCCTACGTTAGACAACCGTGCTCATCGGAGGTGCGGAATTTCTACGCGTGGACATTTGCTCATTAGCGAGCCGTGCTACGAAGCCGGCGACCCGAGTTCGATTCTCGCTCACGATGATATCTGAACCGGTTCTGGACCTCCCCTAGGTTGGACTCGGCCGACAAAAGTGAATACCTGGTGCGGTGTGTAAACATCGCCCCCTGGGGGGAGACAAAGGCGGCCGGGCGTGGTTTTGCCGGTCGCGCCACCACTTAAGCTGATTTACGCACCGGCTGGCGTGTAGGCGATTTGTGTTGCACGTGAACACGATCTACAGACGAGAGACGTCCGAGCAGGCGATTTACACAGCCCCGCAAACGCTCTCTCGTATCGTTGTTATTTGTGTACGCGGCTGATGTTACAGCCATCGATTGAATGTACAGCACGTGTGTAGTGTTATTGTGGACTATAGTATACGCACGTTTTGTGGATACAAATGCACGTGTCGTATGCGTTTGATAGGTGATGTGCATGTTATACACGTCTGGGTTCCTGTTCATTACATCTCTACAACAACACATGTGCAGGATATGTGTATGCATGTGCATACCAGACCGAGGAGTCAATTATTTTACGTTACAATTCCAATACTGTAGCAATGTTAACCCAAATTGCCATTTACAATTGCATACAATGGGGGTTTGCAAGTCCTTACGAGTTACACAATTACAATGGTTATTGACTCCCCCAGGGTGCTGGCGAGTGTGGACACATACATGCCTGCACACACACCTTTTGTACCGTGTACTCCACGTGTGCTCTCTGTGTGGTGCACATGTACAGCAATATGAGAGTGGGTGTCTTAACGACGTTTGGCATGCAGATCGGTGTGTGTGGGGGTTTTAGAGTTCGAATCTTGTGAACGTATTTCGCGTGGACATCATCGCCGCACGTTTCATTTCCGTTTTCTCTGCTTGGCCACCGTGGGTGTACGACCGGGTTTGTTTGCACGGCATAGTTCTATACTTCGTGTTCCTCTCGTTTGTTACAATAATATAATTCGTCATTTCCTCTTGTGATTTGGTCGGAACCTTATGAGAAGCATTGTTAGTTAGTGATGGAACCAAAACTGGCTATTAACAAGAGGTTACAGTGTATCTATCTCGAGTTGGTCGTTGCTGTAACGGAGTAGTGATTCGCATCCCTTTGTCAATCCACTGCTGGATGACGGGGCTCCCCACGTAACATTGCGGTCACAAGGGATGTTTGACCATACTTCGCCATGCCGGTCAGTGCGGGATGAGTGAAGGGTGGGGCCGGGGATGGACCATCAGCAGTGTTGGATGTCACTCGCCACTGATGTTAGCCGTGGCTGGCAATACAATAACAGGGTCAGAGTGTGCCCACCGCTCAAACACTTCAATAACAATGCCCTCTTTATAGGGGGTCCTGCATTGGGGTTGTTTGGCCAGTTCCAGTAAAGTAGACGCGTATTTACTTCTATAGCCAGGTGAGAGCTAAGTTACAAAGTCAAACAAAATCACAGCAAAAAAAGTAAAAACAAATCAGAAATGTAAAAAATATTAATGTCAAAAGAAAATCTGTTTTCAATAATCAATTGTTTAACTATAGAATACATACATTCTATATTTTACAGTGGAAATGTTCAATGCATGTCTGTGGCAAACAACATACGAAGTCGGTGATATCGGAAGGCAATGATCAAACTCATTTACAGGTTTCCCAGCGATGAATCTGGTCGATCATACAACATTGATGGAGAAAGTCACTCACAACGGATGTGTGTATACATAAATTACATAGATACATAACCTGTGTGTATGTGGACACATGCACGGCATGCATGGCACTGCATGTGTCCATGTATACACATGCTGTTGCATAATTGTGTGCGAGTGTCAAAGGGGATTTGTGGGGAGTGGTGAAACTGGCGACCTGAGTTCGATTGCCACTCATGGGTCGACACCCGTGACGAATATCTGAACCTGTTCTGGGCCTCCCCTAGGTCGACTCAAAATCACATATGAGTACCTGGTGCCATGTGTAAACATTGCGACTAGGGAGACAAAGGTTCCCGGGCGTGGTGCTGGCCACCCACCGCCTGGCGTGCCATGCCGGCCTTCATAGGTGCTCATTGGCCTCAAAAGAATGTTAAGTTTATATGGGGTATCTTTGTGGTATACATGAGGCAGGACCTTAATAGTTGTTCGCTAACATCGCTTGTCCCAACAACCTGTGCATGCATATAGGGGAACCTTTGTCTTTGTTATGTATATTCACATTAAAGGATTCAAGAGATTGACACATTCACTGGCAATAAATAGGCATGCATACATTTGCTGTTACAAAATAGCTGTGTGACTCATTTATTCTGTTGCGTGTAGCATAGATACTGTTCCATGTAACATGTGTACACGAATGTACGGTGTACTCTTTGGGGAGGAGCAGTGACAATGGTCCGCGTCCAGTGCTATGAACCGTGCAACCCGAGTTCCTTTCATGGCCACAGCAAGACATCGTAAGGCGTCAGTGGCTAGTGATAGCTGAACCAGACCCAGGGCCATATCCTCACCAACCTGCATTGACGAGCGTGATGATTGATGTATGTGCTGTATGGTCAAACCACCCCCATGATAATGTGGGGAGGACACGGGGAGTGTGGGAAGGTCTTAATCCAGCAGTGGATTGATGGAGAGTTGTCACTCAATTATACTTTTAGTATTCCGATGAGTATTCGAGTACAGTATGTATCGAACCCACGTCAAGTCAGTTGTGGTATTTATCGGGGTGTCCATTAGCCTATATCAGGATGATTTAGAACAAGAAAGCAAGCCTGTTCTCACGACAAGTGCCCTTACAGAGGGGCTGATTTAACGGCCTGCAGGATGTTTGTATAAGAGCAAGGTCATGGGTTCAAATGTACGTCAGGATCCTCTCGACCCCATCATCATCGTTCCTCCCGGGGGGGGGGGGGGGGGGGTGTAAAATAATCACCCAGCTGGTGAGTCCGCACCTCTTAAGTGGTATGTCCACCCTGGAGCGATGGAGCTTCCTGAGAGACTGGCTCTCGTCGTGGGAATGTGGAATTTTCGTCAAGTTGCTGGCTTGGGACTGCCATTGGAAGATGGGCACTGTCTAAAGTCCCGTGGAGCCTGAGCGACCCAGATGGTAAAATATTTACAGCACAGTGCACATACCCTGCCTGATATCAATGTATACGGCACCAAGTGGTGACCACATGTTTCACCACTGATTAACCCGGATCATTAAGTATTTCTGTTGCCTATCCTGTGACGGCTATAATCGGTTTTAGAGAGAGAAAGCCAGTAAAAAAAATGAGCGCCGTTAATTATTGATCAGATTAACACAACAACAACCACCACCCCAGGGACGAACGCAATGTCATCTCGTTTTCCTGGTTCCGTATATTTTTTAGGACTTGCTCACATGTAGCTTTAATTACGCCCAACGTGGCGCCCCCACTACCACCACCACCACGCCCGATACATTTTGATCCCAAGCGATTTCAACATTTACCTGCAGCAGACGGTAAAAGGTGCAGCACTGCAATTGTCATGCCCGCGCCACTGTTGGGGGAAGGGCCTCGACAAGGAGGGAGTGCGAATAACAGAGGGCAGTGGCCATATCTCTCTTCCACCCTGGCCACAAGCATCTTGTATAAAGGCCGGAGTATATAAGCCACACTTTAACTCCCCCCCCCCCTGCCCCACCACCACCACACGCGACCTGCTTGATTGATGAATTGGTGTGGTCCATATGTTCTGCCCCGAGTGGACGGAGGCGGTGGCATTTCATAAACCTTTCCCCGCAGTTTCCATCTGCCTCGCCCGGAGGTCGACCAAGTCCAGTGTGCTTAACCATCCTGAGAGTAACACTGCTTTTACAGTATTGCACCACCCCCCTCCCCGTCTGTGTCATGCACTCGACGGTGCGTAATTGGCCTTATGAGTCATTACCATGATTTCGTTTCTGGAACAGTGATCTGCGGTAATGAGGACCCTGCCGGATGACCCCTGATGCTGTGTGCCCCCTAACAGAACGCTACATTGTGGTCGTATTTGCACATCGGCGTGCGGGGGGGGGGTGAGATTCCGGTTTGAAATGTGCCATCGCCTCTCAGCCACTCACACACTCCACCCATCCACCCACACCACCCCAACGCGCACGTGAAAACTTGCTGAGAGACTGGTTTTTGGGGGCGGTGACGTCATGGCGTTGTGTTTTACTGCATGGGTGGCCCCGTCCGTTCGCCGGTTGCGAGTGGTCTCTCGCAGACCTTGCCGGCAAGAGGAAGGGGGGGGGGAAGAGACGGTCGCGTTACAATGCAGGTCGGAAGAACGCGGTCGCGGTGGTGGCGGTGTTTGGTGGTGGGGGGGTGGGAAGAGTGGGGTGGTAATTAAGCTGCCCGTGGCTTTGCTTCCCGCTCAATTATGCAGCTATTTCGTGATCGCGCTTTCCTTTTGACGGGCGGCCCGGGATAAGGCGGACGTGGGATTGTGGGCACGTCCCAGCGTGCTGCTTCCTCCTCTGGTCAATGCGGGATATCGGTGTTGCCGGAGGCTGGGGGGGGAAGGGCTCTCTTGTGTTTGCAGGGCTTTAGAGGTGGAAAAGTGCATTGGGCGTGGTGCTGTGCACGCACGCACAGACACCCACGGCTGTATCGGCTTGTCAGTGCTATACCTATACCACAGACACGTGGGTGTGAATGGTGTGGTCCGTGCTGGGCTATTTTGTTTGTTGTATAGCTCGTTATGACTACGGTGGGGGAGGAGGCGTTATATTTTTTATAGACTCCCAAGCCGAGCAAACCCGCCAGTTGTTAGCTCAGCCCCCGGATTTTCAAAGCAAACCCCACATTTAGGTGTGGCCAATGCATTTACTGTAATACGAATCCTTTCATCAGTGTTGTCAGTCATTCAGCTAACTGGGTCAGAGCTACAGAGTCAAATCATTCACGCAGCTTTCTTTATGTTACACGTTGATATACTGAATATTGGATTCAAAACGATTTTTTCAAAGCCATCGTTGCAGTGTTTTCGGCGTAACAGGCTTGTCGTACTGTGATACTGAGAAGAAAAAAAATCCATTGCTGTTGTATTGCTGAACAAAGGAGTCGTGCGTTTAAAGGAAGATCGTTTCATTCTCAACTAAAATGTATATACTTTTTGAACGCCAGCACGGCTGCAATTTTTTGACACACCACTGACATATGCCGACCCCCTCCTCGCTCTCTCTCTCGCTCTCTCTCGCTCGCTCTTATAAACCTGACGGGATGTTTGCGGGTGCTTTTTTGTTGGCCTCTTCATGCAGGAGGGACATGTAGGTCAACTGGACATGGAGAACCTGAGTCGACCGCAGATGCTTTCCCTCCTGAGCTTCTTGGAGGGAGAGCTCGAGGCACGGGATCTGGCAATCGAGGTCCTGCGGGTGAGTGAGCCACCATCTGACCCCCACCCTGAGAGAGATTCACACACAGCCTTGCTTTCTTACCGCTGGACAGACCAGAGAAGAAGCCTTTTGTTTAATAAATAGGTGAAGAGGAGCTCTGGGTGAACGTTGGATGACGTTTCTGTGAAAATATGATTTTCTGATTTTTAAGCCCAATTTCAGATTCGATGAGAATAATATTTCCGTTTATATGACCCATAAATGCCTTAATTAGACACGCCTTGTGTGTTCTTGCTATTTAAATTCCTAAAATGTTACTGTCACTGTTTAATCAGTAAAGACGTGCATTTCAATCATTGAATAATATTGTTTAACTGTTCATTTATTACGTAAAGTTTAGTCGGTGAATCAACAGTTTTAACGCAAATATTATATATTTCTTCACACGAAAAGTGCCATCACGTGACCTCAGTTTAACGAAACGCACTTTGGGTGGGAAACGCACAGAAGTGATTCAAAACAATCTCATTTTTAGATTTTTTTTTAATATTCTCCTGAAAATCAGAAACACATTCCTCGTAAGGGCCTATTGAGACCAAAAGTCTATTTTTCAAGGGTGGCCCAGGTCAACATAAAACCCGCCATACAAATGCAGAAATATTTTTTAAAAATATATATTTGTGGTAAAATTTCACTGTACACAAGAATACAGGCCTGCTGCAGAACGTTTGATGACAAAACACAACAACCCCGCACGCAAAAATATCCACTAGGCTCATGGACCCAACGCGTCCTGGTTGATGGGGGAGGGGGCAGACATCCCGGGACAAATGCAGAATTTAAATAATTATAGGAACAATAAACTCAAACAGTGGTTGTGTAGCAAAGGCCATTGTTATTCCTTACTTCTGTGATCCCATGTATATTGTTACCCCGCCCTTACCAACCTGCACTGACCAGCGTGATGATGGATGTGTGGTCAAATAATCCCCACAACCCACACGGCAAGGGAAAGCCCGCATCCAGTAGTTGATTGGAAAAGAAGATTGAACAACAAGATTTCAATTGTAAACAAAACATGGTGAATGTAAGGCAATGAAAAATAGGATCAGATGAAAGCAAAATATAATATGTATGTGAAAGAAATAAAACATAAATAATGCAAATTCAATACATTTTACATTCAAACAAGGCAGTAGTTTAGCATTGTGTTACATGTGAAAAGTTCACAAACCATCTCTTCAATGCCAGGTTTACCAATGATGTTATTATCTGCCCACCTTTTACTCACTCTTGTATTAAAGTCACCCATTAAGAAATGGTCATGCGTTTGCTTATCTCTTGTGAGAAGGTGGCGGCTATGGGAGGCCTTCATCAAGCAGTGGATTGGCCATTGCAGCTGATGATTTAAGAAAAACATTACCATTCGGATTGTTTGACGAGTAAATGCAGCAGCCAACGAAATGTCAACTTTGACGAAATGTTTATAAAATAAAAAATTATAATATGATAAGCCCTTTGTCAATCAGCTGCTGGATGAAGGCCTCCCCATGCCATGTCGGTCATAGGGGTTGTTTGACTGTTCTGGTCATTGTCGATTGCTGAAGGGTGAGGAGCAACACTGCTTGGACTGGCACCTCACCCATAATGTTGAACTCAGCTGGGATTCAAATGAAGGTAGCTGGAGTTAGAGTGGAGTGTGCTAAACACCATGCCCGCTAATCTTGAGAATCGGGTTAATCTAATGTAATTCATATTTATTGAGCGCCTTCATTCAAGGCGCTTGAGATAGCTTACAAAACAGTGACAGAATGGAATGATTAAGATGTACTTATGTACGTTGAACTTCTTTCACATACCGTACACAGCCAACCGTGCTAATCGGAGGTGCGGGGGAAGAACAACAAACTAAAGACCCCCCAAAAAAGATAGATTGGGGAATGAGTGACAGTAATAGAGGATACTTGAGGATCACGAAAGGGTAGGGAAGGGACGGGGGAATGAGTGGAGGGGCAAGAGAAGAGGAAGAGAATGGGCAATAGAGAAAAGGTGAGCTGAGGGAAAGCTGCCCAATTTTAACTCAGGATCTAAGCGTGCCTAGCTCAGCGATGTTACCTCTTCGCCAGGCACGGTGCACATTTTAAAATAATCCCAAATTGTTCAGTGTTGCCCTGCGGCATGACAGAGGCATGTGGCATGTCATTCCACACCACATGGATCTTCTGAAAGCTCAGCTCTTGTGCTGTGCTGCTTTTTAGCAAATTAACACATGGTGCCATGATGGCTGTAGGGCATTATGGGTAAACCCACAAAGCATTGACACTAATGGTGCACACGTGTGTGAAGAACAATCTGTTATAGCCACTGGCTTTATTAAAAAGGGTGCATATGTGATTGTTATTTACATGCGTTCAGGCTTGAGAGTCATTGAGGCCTGCCTGGAAAAATACATTCCATTAATTATATTTGAAGTAGTAAATCACCATGGAACTGTGTACAGGTTCCAAAATTATTTTTGATCATAGTCTCAGTATCATCGTCAGTGCACTGCTGGATGAATGTCTCCCTGCGGTAACACTATCATTCACAATCTTTTTGTTATCGATCATAATCGCAGAATAGCCATGATTATTTGCCCGGTGACTGTGTACCGATAAAGCATCCTCACCGCCCCTGAAGGTGCTAACTCCCCGTGGTCGTTTATGCTTCTCTGTGTCGTCACATCCACTCCCCCAAATGCTGTCCCATCTCATTGCACACTGTCCCATTGCATGTCACTTGCTCCCAATAACATGCATGCCAGCTTGTCCCAAAATCTCAGGTCACATTCAGGCCTCCCCATTTCCGTTCTATTGGATGGCTCTTTCCAGGTCAAATTGTGATGCTCACACATTTTGTCCATCTGCAGACAGATACCGATGCAGTGGTAGCGAGTAGAGGCAGTATTACGTTTGAAACCGAAATCTGTGCACGAATGGAGGGGTCGTTGGATTTTCCCCCCCACTTTGATACTTAATTACCGAGGCAGCTTTACTTTGAATTATTCAAGGATCAAGGGGATCGTAAACCAAAGTGTCTTCGGTGTGCATATTGTGCGCTGAACCCTATTTATCTTAACGGCTGAAGTGGTGCATGCATGTTAAGTTGTGGGGGGCGCTACCTTTGTGTTTGCTCTTTGAGCAGTGAGTCACGGACACATTGTGTGTAGCTCGTTATGAAATTACGGCAGACCAAATTGACAAGTTGCGTCGCGTGTGCACTCCCAAAAACGAGGCCACGTAGGGGAAAAAAAAGTCTATTAAATATTCAGTGACGTGTCAAAACGAATGGTAAAATTTTCACAGGCATAATCCTGTGATGCAGTTGAAATTTTTTCGTCGTTTTTTCCATTGATGTTCCCTTTTCAGAAACCCCCCCCCCCAAACCGCACACAACGTTTTAAAATATTAATTTAATATCCTTCAAGTAGTTTTCTTTCGCATTGAAAGAATCTTTATGTTTACTCTTCCGCTCGCAAGAGAACAAAGAATTGCGCACAGCTGTTTACGAATAGTGAAACAGCTGATTGGATGTGACAGTCTGGCAGATGCTGACAGTTGCAGTGCTTCAACTATCTTTTGTTTGCAGCCCGTGTAGCGTAACCTGCGTGAGGCTTTCGCATTTCTATTTTGCTATTTTGGCTATTTGTTTTATTTTACCAGGTGAGGCCCAATGAGCTATGCCGCTCTTTTTCAGAAGCGACCTGGCCACAAATGATAGCTCAACGAAGTGGCTTATCACGTGGACATTTATAGCAGCCAAATACTTTGGACGCACGTTTCTAAATGTAGAGGGAAAAACCGGAGGACCCGGACAAAAATCCACACAACCATGGGGAGAGAGACCCTGCAAACTCCTAATATACAGGCGTCAGGCTCGGGATGGAACCCACGACCTCCCATATACCAGGCGAGGCAGTTAACATCGCGCCAGTGGAAGTCTTAGACGCCGATCCTGTCCAACTGCACCGTTAACACAGAGGGATTCTCGCTGGAATTCTGTGCAATCCAGATGTGTTGATGTCAAAACGTATTGACCCAAACGTAACCGTACATGGCCCCGTTGCTTGCCAGCATGCGAGTGAGCGAATGAAAGCGTTCAAAGATAATTTCAACTCGCACCCTGTTTTTATTTTTTTAATAAAAAAAGCATATGACGGTAGTTTTATGTTGTCGGAAGAGCAGCAGCGGCAGCAATCATAATAACATCCTTCCACAGCGCATTGCTTAATATGGTCAACAACCGTTGAAGCATTAACATGGCACTGTATTATGAATTGTAAAAAAACACAAGAGAAAAATATGCAAATGTAAGTTGAACATTTAGAGCATTTTTAAATTACGTTAAGGCTGATATATGTGGACACGGTCATCAAGGCCATATTGAGTACAGTTTACCCTACGGTAGTCAAACTTGTTTTGTATCATCAGTGTGCGCGTTACTGACCATAAAATGTGTCCATATGCGTCTTGGATAAGGCGAGTAAATTTGTTTTTCCCTTTTAATGGAACCCTTCTGTTCTTTCAAGTGAGTTCAGTGCTTCCGACGACGATGTGTGGTGACAATTAGGGGGTACGTGAGTGCTTTGCACAAGTATTTCCTCCTTTCGGTGCAATCACGAGCGCCTGGTGTAAAAGCCGAACCGTCCGTGATCCTTGCTTAGGTGGCACGTGCGTGCAATCTGGAATCTTGAAGGAGAGGGGTTGATGGATCAGACCGAGATGGATCAGACCGAGATGGAGCCATTTAACTAGAGGGCAATGAGAAGTGTCTGTACCGTGCAAAACAAAGGGGGAGGTTTTTGGCGAGTGGATTTTTTGGGATTATAACTTTCTACCCTCGTATGCATGGTATATTTGCAGGCACTGGTAGAGGAGGTGAAAACGTATGTATTTTCATCCTCGCAGCAGCTACTTTTCGGCTCGCCATCTAACAAAGACGGTCACCGCATCGCGCGCTTTCAGATGCGCTTCTGCGACCGTCTGGAATGCTCTTCCTTA